GCTTATATTTTTAAACCTACATTTTAAATAAGAAGTATTGATATGCATTACAGGTCATATTTAAACTCTTTTTTGACAAAATTTATTGTAGACCTATGACTTAAGACATTCCATTATTTTTGCATCTGTTTATTAATAACAGAAACAACTGCTTTGAACAGGTGTGAAGCCTTTACAAAACCCTAATTCAGTTTCTTGTTTATACACTTTGAAATATTTTAAATGTAATTGCCATTATTGTGAATGTATACTATTCATCCATAAAATATGCAAAACAAAACAAGGAGCCTTAAAAACAAACTGATTTTTTATAGATCTTACTGTCTACAAGCTATAGTCAATAAGTTTAATTTGAGGTTTTATTTTTATAATGTACACATGCTGACCAAAGTTACCATATTTTGACAGCAGGAATCTGGGCAGTCACTAGATGGCAGCAAAGAGATGCATAAAATGATAGTGATAGTTTGGATTTTTCTAGATATGGTAGCCCTATGCTGAACTAATTATGTCAGATGTATTCTATAAAGTCTTCAGTCACACAACTGAGCAGCATTTCACTGCCAACTGTTGTATATCAGATTCACTGCAGAAAACCATAATTATAAAGTAGTAGTATCAAATTCCTAACAGTAACATATCTCTATATTAGTTAAGCTATTAATACGACAATCATGGTTGAAATTGTATATTTATTTGAAACAAGTCTTCTATGTCCCTTCCAACCATGTCTGTTCCATAGACTGTATTTCCATTTTTAAACCTTAAGTGCATTGCATGCAACCCTTGAAATAAAAGAAAAACTTGGTAAAATAATTTTGAAGTTATTATAAATACTAATTAAAATTACCAATTATAGGATCATTATAAAGAACTGGTACAGAATGATATAAGGCACCGTCTGCTCTAATGTTAAGATTAAAGAAAAATCCTTTTCAGGGTGATATTTATAAATATTTATTCTTTGACTTGATCATTTAATTTACCTTCAATTTTATACAGAGGGAATCAAGGCATTAACCTGCTTCTTTCAGTATGACTGCTCTGTAATTAATAAATAATCATTTAATGTAACTAAAAAAATTAAAAATAAATACTCAGCAGTGCTTTACAATTGCAGTGGAACAAGTTTGACCAAAAATGATTGAAATGATGGCTGTAGAAGTGATTTTAAAAAATAAAAACCAAACAGCTCACACCACAGCTTATTGTATAAGTGAATACAGTCTATAAGACTCAACCAGTTAAACCATCATCATAAAACAATTAATCAGTGGAACAACGTGCCTCCAGAAATTGTGGGTGCTCTGACACTGGAGGTTTTTGAGATTGGACAATTATTTATTTTAAATGGTGTAAGGTTTCCTGTTTGAGCAGGGAATCAGACTACTAAACCCCCAAGATCCCTTCCAACTGTTATTTTGGTAGGTTGTAATATGTGGATTGAGTCATAAGCTCCGAGTGTCTGTGACAAGAGTGAAAAAATGACCATTTGTTAGGAATTCCAGATGTAGGGAATGAAAAAAACAAGAGCTCCACTTGAATCCTTGGTTTAGGTTTGAGGTAAGCTTCTTTCATTCCATCCTGACTTTAAGTTGTTACTAGTACTACAAGGCTGGTAAACTCTTTGGGCTACTAGTGTGTCTGATCTATTGATCCCCAATTAATGAAAGGATGAGGAAACAATGGTTCTCCTCTTGTAAGACTCTTTTTATTTTCACATGCCTGAGTCAACGCAGCCCAAATTCAGAAACATAGAGGTAGTGGTTCTTAAACAGTTTGAGCCATTTATAGGTAGTCTTCAACTTACAACCACAACTGAACCCAAAATTTCTGTGACCAAGTGAGACAGTTGTTAAAAGTGTTTTGCCTGATTTTACGACCTTTCTTGCCACCATTACCACCATGAATCACTGCACTTGTTAAGTGAATCTGGCTTCCCTATTGACTTTGCTTGTCAGGTCACAAAAGGCGATCACGATCCCTGGACACTGCAACTGTCATAATAAATGAGTCAGTTGCCCAAACGTTTGAATTTTGATCACGTGACCGTGGCGATGCTTAAGTGTGAAAAATGGTCATAAGTCACTTTTTTTCAGTGCCATTGTAACTTTGAACAATTACTAAATGAACTGTTGTAAGTCAAGGGCTACCTATACTCCTTTTCCTATCTCCAGCACTGTGATGTGCCTCCCAAGGAAAAACACTACTCGATGTTTATCTCTTTCTTCTCTGTTCATTGTTTACACAAGTGCCTCAGCAGCAGCAACAGTCCCAAACAGGATCCTCAATTCAGAAACAAGCAATTTCATCACCCCTTTAGGGTAATTACAGCCAGTTTAAGAACAACTGTTACTGGAGTTACCCTTCAGAAACTGTTGCTCTGCAGAATAAAAAGAAGCTAATCTGCATTCATAGACTATGTTAGCCCAAAACCCTTGCCTCAGTTCATGGGGCAAACCTACTACAAATTAATCACACAAGCTGAGTTTATACAAATTGGTTTTAGCTATACTGTCTGCTTCAAGAGAGCCTGGTACTGACTCCTAGAATATTCAGCAGTTTTAAAATGTGTGTCAGCCTTCAAGATTTTCTCCTTTTGCTTTGCATCTTTTGGCTGTCATAAGTAATGGGGGGAGGAGGGGGGAATGGTTATGGGAAGTGAGCTGGAGGTGTTACAAACCAGAACTGTATAAACTGGGGGGGGGGGTGTACATTCTTGCTTAGGTTTCTATCCTATGCTATGCGCAGCTCCAACCCTTTATCAAACTATGTCAAGGTCAACGGACAGAAGCCTCATCACCACCTGGGGATGTCCACATGATGATATACACAACTTTTAATTGGATGAGCCAATTGAACTGTTGGGGGTGGGAACGTTGCCATTACTTTGTATATGTGATTTACGCGCCCACTTTCTCAGATTCAGAATTCTTTTGTTGCTACCACTTGATTTCCAGTAAAAGATATCTTTTCTCTGATTAAAGGAGTCTGAGTATTTCTTTCTTGGATTTTGAATGGAGCACCAGCTGACAATGTGTTATGTTCACCCGAGATCTCATTCAAGCCTACACCTGTCTTATTAATGTCTTTAAAATTGAAACAAAAGCTACTTTCTCTGGCCTGACCAATCCCCACCCCATCCCACTCCTTAAATCTTGAGAGATTTCAAAACTCCCCCCGCACCTTAATTTAGCGTTTTGCCCCTAGCTTTCTGTAAAAAAAAAAAAAAAAGGTAGAAATTAATCTGGGAGATCTCCCATATTTGAGGTAAGCTTCTTTTATTCCATCCTGACTTTAAGTTATTACTACTGCAAGGCTGGTAAAGTCTCTTTTGGCTACTAGTGTGTCTGGTCTAGGTCAAAGTTCCCCTTAGTTCCACAGGCAGGCACCAATGCAATTTTTTCTTTCCGGCCTTTATTTTTATATATAACTCAAGGTAGCAAATATACCTTCATACTAATGAACACTAAGTTGATCTTGCATCGTTATCTCAGGACAAGTGTATTTGCCTTCACACCTAAAACTCCTTCCTCCTCCCCATTTTCCCCATAACAAACACCTTGTTCATGAGTTGGGCTAAGAGAGCCACCCAGCTGGGCTTTCATGCCTAAGGAAGGACTCGAACTCACGGTCTCCTGCTTTTCTAGATCACCAACCACTAACCCCAAACTGATTTTTAAACCTTCTGAGAAAGAAGAAAGGCAAAAAGGTGGATTCATCTTTGGTTCTTTTCCATTGGAGTTTTCTCAAACTCTTCTTCCTGAATGCCTGCAGGGCAAGAAACCTCTGGTTGTGGATAGAGGGAAAATAGGATGCTTTGTCTAGCTGCACAAATTTGACAAGGTGGGTAAACACGGCCCTCTTTAAAGACTTTTTTGGAGGGGAATTGTTCCATGAAACAGCTATTCCTTGTCGGTGCAAATTGGCAGGCTAGTTAGTCCACTTTTCTACATGAACCCACAAAGGTTTCTCTTGGATAAAATTTCCAACATCTGGTAACTCAGCAGAAAATAATTCTATTTTACGCATAGAATAGCTCCTAAGCGTGCTTAATTGGTCCCTAAGTAGACCTAAAGTTTCAACTAGGCTTATTGATGCCATATAACTGAGATTAACATGTATATTACAGAAACAGATTGCTCTTGTTCAGCATTTCTTAAACTTTTTGTTGGCAGAATTCCTTTCACTTCCAAAAATTACAGAGGACCTACAAAAGAGATTATTTGTATATATTATATTTATCAACATATAAAGTTGATTCACTTGTAAGAATATTGAAACATGCAAAAATATTAAACTATTAGATAATAGTATTGATATTTTTTAATGAAAAAAACTATTTCTTAAGAAATAAAAATATTGAGAAGAGTAAATTGTTTTAAATTTTTGCAAATACCTTTTGTCAGATATTAATTGGGGAATAATTTTGATTTCACAGACGAATGAAAGAGGGTCTTAGGGAATCCCCAGGACCACACTAAAAAAGCTGTTGCCCAGTAGCTGAAAGCCTGGTTCACACATCCTGCTAACCCATGGTCTACAAAGTGTTCTCTAACAGCTGAGTTGACAAGCGATTAGGAACCCATAAACAATGGTTTATGAACAAAGGCCAGTTTTGTACAATATGCTAAATCAAACCATATTCCCTTTTAGATACACTAATAACTCCGGACAATAGTTTGGAATTTTTAGTTCTCAAATTAAGTAGTTGTCTCAAACTCATGTAGATAATGCTTCTAATTTGTACTGATCATATATCTTGGTTTTCATGAAATGTTCTGCTAATCCTTTTAAAATAATTGGATTGTGAAACTACTATGCCATTATGTCAAACTGGCAGTCCATGAGCTGGATGCATCATGCACAGGCCACGCTCACCCCAGCTCCACAAATGGGAAAAATGTCGCGAACATGACAGGAATGTGACATCGTGAGTTTGACACCGGTGCGTTATAGTGTTGCCAAACAAAGATAATTATGTCCAAAATCTGTTTTTCCACATACATATTTTATTCAGGGGTATCTTATAAAAAAATAAGAAATTACATTGATTGTATTTTATATCAAAAAGCATGTCTAACAAGAGATATATAAAATTATATCTTTATCAATTTTGTGAACAATAGAAATGCATATTTTAGTTAACAGTTCCTCCTGTTATTTTTTGCAAGATTATCTATAAATAAAAATATGCAGTGTTAAATATGTAAGTCCAGCTAATATGAACTTGGAATATTCATATATAGAAAGAAGTACAGGTTATTTTCAATATAGTTCCACATGAATTTCAAACCAAATTATAATACAGTAATTATAGCCGAATACTAATTTAAAAAATATAAATGTCCATAGTATAACGTACGTAAAAGGGTGAAATATGATTTTAAACAGTATTTTCCTTTCTAGTTATTCCTTTCTAGTTATCTAGGTATTTTTGTTAAGAAATGAGTAAATGGACGACCATGGACACAGCTGTTATGTTGGGTTCCAAGCTGCTTCCCCATTCTGTTTATAGTATTCTGTACATCTTCTTCTGATAAATATAAAGGCAATTTTCGGGATAATCGGACTGCTTCTCCCTGTGGAATGAAGAATATGTATAGTAAGTGATGGTCATAATGTATTTCCAATATATTCTAATAGTACAGAGAAATTTGGCAAGTGGGTGATCTTCTATTACACTATTTTCTTTCTTTGCCTAATTACACACACAGACAACAAATTTTCACAAATGAATACAATCAAATTGACTCTGTCCTAAATCCAAACACAAATCCAAGAAATGTGAGACCATGCTTTGTGTTTCTTACACTGCTTCCATTGTAGAAGCTATAAGTTTTAAAATGTAGATATAGCTATATTATTTTAAAATATGCATCTCATATAACAGCAAATTAATACTAGATAATAAAAGAAATATTCTAATTATTTAATTTAATTACTGCTTTTAGTATAATTGTCTTACCCCCTCAGGGAGCAATATCTTTAAGCTGTGGAACAATCTTTTGAGAATACAACATTCTTACCTCCAAATAGTTTACCACTTTAAGAGGTCTGCATTCATAGACTTCTTGTGCATTATTATTTATCACAGCACTTAGAATTTCCTTCAAATCTGATATACCATAATATGGCAGACAGCTGGTCATTCCTTCTATTTCCAGCTGACTTTCCACAGCTGAAGTACCTTATAGTAAAACAAATACATGATACATGAATAACTGGATATAGTTTACATATTACTCTGATTTGAAATAGGTATACTGCCAAGCAATATACAGCAGTCCTAAACATGTGATTATACTACATTTAGATTTGCATAATACCTTAGAACAGGACACACTTTTTCTTTAATTAGTTTTAAAGTAGCTGTATCTTTTGCAAAACTTGTCAGTTTCCACATGCATGTATTCTTATGATGATTTAAAATTTCTTATTGTAAATTTTAGTAGAAATTGAAAAGCTTAAATTTGTTAATAAAAAGATTTAAAATTCAAAGATTAAATCACTTGTTAAATGATTCTCAGGCAGTGCTATTGTGATCTTAAAGATGGAGCACCCTTTCATCACAAGTATAACAAATTTTTAGTAATTTGTCACCTTTTAAAATACCACAAATTATCTTTATTTTAGTTTCCTTTGTATGTCCAGTGTAACATCCTTTTCCATGTAATTCTTATAGACTTCTCATTTTTAAATCTACTTTCAAATGAAATCTCCTGCTGTATTATATAAAAAATTATACTAAGAACTAAAGTAAGAAACCAAGATATAAATACCTGGTATTATCCTTATCTTAAATCCATTTGCTACAAGCCTGGGATCCAACAAATAGGATGATCCATCAAATCTTGTACTTTCCCTAGACATACTGCAAAGCACTTCCATATAATGAGTGTCACTAAAAAGACTACAATAAAAAAAAATCACATAAGATAGCATTCTTTAAAAAGATAGAGAATTTTAAAGAAGTATTCCAAAGGGGTAGTATGTGTCAAGAATTGTACCACATTGTTGTTTATTTTTACAAATGTTTGCAATTAACTTATACTCTTTGAATGAAATGGTACAAAAACTTCTATTACAGGTAGTCCTTGACTTATAGTCAATTGGTTAACAAAATTATGACAGCTAAAATAACTGATTTATGAATAATTGTTACACTTAACAATCCTCAGTGTCCTCATAATCATATAATAAAATTCAGGTGCTTGGCAACTGACATGTATTTATGACAGCTGAAATGTCCCTGGGTCATATGATCACTATTTGCAATCTACTCAAGAATTCAAACAACCAAAATCAATGGAAGAGGAAGCTTGATTTTTGTTTTAACAAATGTGTGATTTATTTAATAACTGTGATAAAAGGGTTGTAAAATCAACAACCATACAGCTAAGCAACCAAAGTTTCTATCCCAATTGTGGTCATAAGCTGAAGACTACCTTACAGTAAAACCTCTATTTAGCAGATATTGTTTAGCAGAGTCTAGAAGAAGTGAACAAAATTTTACAATAATAATATACCAGAGAAAGCAAAAGGAGGAAAGAAACTAGCCAATAGTTTGGTTAGAAGTCAAAAAGAGAAGGCAGCAAGCTATAGGCAAGTCTCTGAGTAAAGAAAAAAACAAAGCTGTCAGCACTAGAGGACAGTGAGGCCGACCAATTCTTCATGGTTTTATCAAACTTACCAAAAAACTTGGTAAGACCTGGTAGGTTATATTACCCCAGATATGTAAAGGCTGTGCTTTTTTTCAATGGCTTCAAGCTGCTTGGTTGGAGAATCAGCTTAATCCTTTCTGTATGACTGACAATGTACGGACCCAAGATTTAGAGACTGAAAATGATTTGGCTATGTAGTTTATCCCTGAGCCTGCAGCTTCTAAAATCTGTTCCTGGAAAGACATCTGTGAACTTGAGAATCTGTACTTACTAACGTGCTTGATAAAGGCCTGACAGTGGGAGGCTATATTAATAAGGAGGCTTTCACCCAAACATAGCAAACACAGAATAATATTTGAAGGTGAAAGTTTGCTACCTCAATTTAGGCATATATGAAAAGTGAAATTCAAGAAAATTCAGACAATCTCTGTTGACTCCAATGAAGTCATACTAACTGAAGTGAACAAAAAAGGGCATATAAAAGACAAAACTACAAACGAAAGAACAAATCTAAAAAAACTCTGAGAATGTCACATTTTTGCTAGAGCAGACGATGAAAGGATTGAAGAGAAGTCATGCCCTTTCAGCTTGGCACCAAGGAAGGCTTTAGAAAAAAGATTTTTCTATCACTGGCTGAATGTGATTTATACAGACCCCCCAATAAAAGAACATGTACTCCCATCTCATACTACAACTATTTCACAGAACATGATCTGTTAGCGAACAAAGATAGGTCTTCTCCCTGACTTGGAACTACTAGTCAGCATTACAGCTTGGGTTAAGTCAGGGGAATGCATCCAGGGCCTTTTTAAACTTGTTGCTGCCAAAAGTTGGCATAATAGTATGTGCTAGTGGTATCGGCCTCTCTGAAAACTTGAAGTATTTTCCTTAGAGTGAATGAAGCCTTCTAACAATCAATGGCACAGCCTACAGTTTAAAATGTGACTTTTTAAAATGTATACTTAGCTACTGAGGAGGGAATCGCAACTGATACAACAGAAATGGTATTTATTACACCTTGCAATTAACCTTCACAATACCTGATGTTGAGTTGCCTTCCCGTCCTCTGGCACTTTTGATTCTGCTTCAAATAAAGCTACTCCCCAAAAATCAAAGGATGAGAAAGTATGTGCTTGTGAAAATGTGCTGGATCCAAAGTTCAGTGGGATGTTGTGCTGCAACAGCTAAATTAGACTGCCAGAGAATCCTAACAGAGATTCTTTTTAGGAGAACAACTCAATGTTCCATGGTGCTCAATGAACCATTTGTGACCTTCTGACATTTAAATCTGAAAGCAAATTGAATGGGGAAGTCGGATTCACTTAACAATCATGATATTAGCTTAATAACTGCAATGATTCACAAGTAAAATGGGGTTGTAAAATGGGGCAAAACTCAATAATGGTCTTGCTTAGCAACAGAAATTTTGGGCTCAACTGTGATCATAAGTTGAGGACTACCTGTAGCAGAAATAACAGGAGAGTGAATAAATAATTATGTGAGTTTAAAGAAAACATGGAATTCATAGGTAAACAGCAGCTAATCTTATCCAAATTTTGCAGCAATACCTTTAAAGGTTGTAAAATGGGGCAAAACTCACTTAACAAATATCTCACCTCGCAACATAAATTTTGGGCTCAATTCTAGTCATAAGTCAAAGGATACCTGTAATGGGACTCTGTTCCTGTCCTAATTACAGATATTAATACCATACACAATGCTGTTTAAAATTTGGAATTCTTTTGAATTTTCTAAAAGGTTCTAAAACTAAGAGAGACCCCAATTAATCCAAAGCTACATAATTGTGTGTGGCAACAGCACTTCAACCTTTAGGATTATCAGTGTATTTGAAAGGGAGATTAGGAGCAGACTTTTCGATCAATGAGATGATAATTAAGTTTATGTTTAGAAGGCCCTGACTAAATTAAATTCCCTATCAAACTCTGATCTTTACAATGCAAGGATGTAGATATGTCATGGTTTGAGCAAACATTTCTGAGGATCACCCAAAAAATATTGTGGTTTCTAAACTTTTCATGCCATTAATCTTTTTTTTTTGTGGGGGGGGGATTGCTTTAAGCATTTTAGAGGACCAACAGAATCATTTGAAAACTAACAACAAATAAATGTGATGGCATGAAAATAGCTCCTGTATCCCTGTTCCATTTCTAAAGTTAGGGGAAATTAATCTAAAAATCCTATGAAAATCATACCATCAAGTGAATCTATCTAGAATCCTACCCAGTATTTAAATAAGATATGCATTTCCTGTACTGCCATATAAATATAATAAATATTTTTTTAAAATACAGACTTATAATATTAAATGCCTTATAAGGAATCTTATTGTACTGATTGTTTATGCTTGTTATATACCCCTAAATCTTTTAAATTTTATCATGCAAAATAAATTTTATTACTAAATGGTTCTATTTTAACATTTGGTTTTTTTGTTTCATTTTATCATGAATACAATTTA